ACACAGATGCAACAGCTGCAACCCACTGGTTGAACTCTTACCCCTGAGCCACCATGGTCCGGTAATGTCTGTTATTTCTAATTACCGTAAATCCTCTAATATTGGCCTGTATTCAGTTAACGGCCGGGTATCATATTTTGGCCGGTGTCGGAGTCGGCGGAGGTGAATAATGGCCGGTTTTTAATTGTGGCCGGGTGGAATGTGGTAACAAGCACGTACGGGGGGCGGTTGTGTCATCCGTCTCACTTTTGATTTGCCAGTGATAGACTGCGAGGGTAACTTTAACCGTGCGGAGACGAAGAGGAGGCGAAAATTTGATATCAAGTTCAAAGAGAACGTGCTGATTATGCTGCAGAACACTCTGGGGAGCAGTAGCAGGGGTTGTATGAACTAGTCACTAGTCGACTTCCCCGCTCTGTAGTGACTATTTATGCCTGTCATCGACTAGTCGCTGTCACGTGATAATGACCGGCAAGATGCAGTCCTCGGAAAAGACAGCAGCCTGCTGTCAGCAGGTGACAGGCTCCTGCGCGTCGGGAGGTAACGAGCTGTGCCAGAGCGTCGGTACTGACACCCGCCGTAAAACGGACATTTAACCAAATTGTGACGTTTACCCTCTTGCAATTTAACCTTCCCCTCACCCCCATCCTAATCTTAACCAGCTTGCGCATGCAAAGCTCTGATTGATGACGCGCTCCAGACATCTGCGTCCTGAGCACGGCCACAGTAACATTATCAAATCAGGTGTCGCCACCTCAAAAACTAATTTAACACGCGATCGTTTATGTCGGCTCATTTCCCTTTATGTTTTCTGTCTTTTATTCTTTTATTTGTGCCTGATGCGTTTCGCTGCTGTGAATCGGGATGCATCACCTGTTTTGTCCTCGGTGACACACCTAACTGATGTGGCTGGCGAGCACTCCACTGTTTTTGCGGTCGGTAGATCTTTTAGAACTGCAGTTCAAAGGTAACTCATAAGGTGAATATATATGAACCCAGGTAGCAGTTTTTCTTTAGGATTGAGAGGAGATGCAGGAAGATAATAAACAGACAGGACAGAAAAATAGTCAAATAAAAACAAGTTAGTTTTTGTACCTGGTGATTGCAACAAACAGACACCACTGAAGGTAATCAGAAGTGAGGAACAGAAAATGAAATAATTATTTTAATGTTTAGAGCAGCAGGAACTCTGAGAGGCTGCAGGCGCATCAGTGAGTTTGCGGCCGCTGCGCAGGGGGAGGGGGGAGATGGCAGAAGCAGAAACTACCGTTGTTAAAAGAGATGTGTTTAACTTTGAAAATGTGGGCGTAATTTTAATTGTCAAAAACTCCAGCGAACCATTAGTTCATTTTGCTCACATAGAAATTGAGGCCTGCCTCTAATTCTGGCCCTCCTTCCAATAAAGGCCTGGAGCTTGATGAGCTTGAGTAAAATACAGGCCCGGGCCTGTATTAGAGGATTTATGGTAATAGAAGGTAAAGTAAAAGTTTTTTGGACAGGACAGGTTCAAATTTATTTTCTTGTCTTATTCAGACAAAACAATATTGTTCATCCGTGCTACATGATCCCTGGTTTAAATTGTGTATTTCTGCAAAACGTGCATGCTAAAATAGCGAAAGGCACAGCGATGCTGCACTTTTCTAGGGTAAAACCACTAAATGCTTCATGGGACAATGCAGTCATAAGTGATCTGCAGGAGGAACCACTGAGTATGCGGCACCTTGAGAAACAAACCACTTTCCAACACAGCTGTCTGGAGAGTGTCAGTGCTTCAGGACGATTTATCTGGCCGCCACTGAGTTGTAAACACAGAACTTTGGCACTATAGCCCGGTAGCGTTACTATGTTGGCAAGGCAGTGAACTAAATTTACAAAGGCATAAACTTCAGGAAGACAAAAAGATACACTCAGGAGGCAGCAGGACAGAGAAAATGAAGGAAGACCACTGCTAGGAAGGTCGCTAGGAAGGCTAAACGAGATCATTAACAGATGGAGAGTAGGTTGTTCTGATCAAAGGGAAACACAGAGGGAATGAACCAAGGAAAACCATGACTGAATAAACTCAGTCTCATTTATTTTTAACTTTTTTTATTTACTATTTCCTCCTCCAGTCCAATAAGGGGCCGCCATGTACATTTTCACTGGTTGGCATAGTCTGCAACAATAGAAGAACTCAGAAGAATAGTCCAAATTATTCAACCTCTCAGGTCTGCTTCCAAACAGAGAATCAGAATCAGAGAATCAGAGAGAATTTTATTGCCAGCGCTCCAGCGAACCAGAGCATAGGAACTTGACTCCACAGAACAGCCTGACCAAGATTACACACACACATATAGACAGGACAGATACAGGCAGACCATGAGAGCAGCCATAACGGCGCTCATTTCAATAGATGAAGAGGGGATTACATGAGGAGAGTTCGGGGAGGGAGAAAAAGGCATTAACAGAGTTACACCGGCAGGGTGTAGCTCTACTATGCAAAAAAACACCTCAACTGCATGAATGTCACAGTTCACAACATGAGACCCGGTAGGTAGGCGGGGGGGGACCCTGATTTTCTCAGCGGGAGCAGCCTGTGTGGCGCTCGACCAACTCGATCCACAGGTGGGTGGGAGGTCATGGGAAAGCACAGAGCACAGTGAGTGCCTCCATCTTGATGACCTCGATGCGGAGACCACAATCTGAAGGCGGGAGGGGGGTGGGATGGGGGGGGGGGACGCCTGCTTATGGCGTCAGAATGAATAACAGGACTTTGTTTGGGTCAGGCAGAAATAATTTTCCTCTCTGCCTTAAAGTCTGTATTGATCATTCAAGTCCTCCAGTGAAGCCAATTCGGTGATAAAACATCTCCACACTGTCCGGTGACCCTCTCCGAGATGACATCCATTTTGCGCACTAACACCGGTAACACAGCTAAGGCATTGTCCAGCTTGCGATTCACCTCGAGTAACGTCCCAGTCTGTGAGGTCTCTGCCCGGACGGTGCCGTCCATGGTTGCGGGTCGCCCTCCAATTGCTCCCGTCATCCCAACTTTTTGGAAAACCAGATATCCTCCCACTCCAATCAGAAGAAATCCAGTGATCATCAGGCCAAATATCCACATATCTTCGACGTTCTCAATGGACAGCTGAGATAGACAGATGACATTCCACTTCTTCCAGGAATCGAGCATATATCCCGCTGCGTGTGTCCCGTGAGGGCAAGCACAAGCCCCCTCCTCCGTTCTCATTGTAGAAAAAATCTTATCAATCACGTTGAATGACCAATTAATTAAATCCATTTCTGAAAAATAGTGATTTCCAGAGGAAATGTAGAGAAGCGCTCTGCAGGCAGACGGGACAAAAGAGCCTTGGGAAAAAAAGATAAGGGAGCAAAGCAGAAGCGACTGTGCCCTGTGAGTGCCAGAAGAGAACAGCAGCAACTGTGAGTTTTTAATGCTAACTTGTTAAAAAATACAGTAAGAAACTTATATGGCATTATACCTTGCTCTACAAATATGGCTTCAAAATTGGCTTCAAAAAATTCAAAATTCTCTTGCTGCACACCAGACTCTCATGAAGTTTTAAATGAATTATTAAGTACTAAATGAAGAAGCATGAGAAGTATTGAAATGTGACTTAAACAGAAAGTACAGCTGTGCGTACCTAAATTACAGCTCAGCATTTAAAGTGTGTGTATGTAACAATGTAGTTTCATTATTTCATAAAGGGATAATTTAGCAGCTCTGTAGCAAAATGATGCTTTCTTTCCAGTTTCATTTGTGATGCATTTACCAAGACAAACACAGAGAAGCTCAGTTAGAAAACGAATGTATTTGAATTTCTTTATCTCAGTTTGAAGGATTTTACATCAGTGGCGTTGGTGGCAACAGATGTTTCCTTTCTCCAATATCAAGGAGATTCCTGCAGAACCTGGGCACTTACAGAACAGATCATTCAGCTGTTGAAGAAGGATGTAGCAGGAACACAAAACATGCATGACAGAGGCCCCTGAGAGACCACCGTTGATGATAGTCATGTGAAAGAAAATGTTTTAGTGTGTGACAAACTATTCTCATTTTCCATTTTTATGAAATGACAATATCCAAGATGCAGTTTTGAGTTAGTTTTGGGTCATTTTCTTAGATCGTTTTTTGGGCAAAAATTGTCAAGTAATGAAGTATAAAAACATTCTCACTTTACTTAAGTACACATTTTGGGGTATCTATACAGTATAAAAAATACTTTGCTGGAACAATTCAAGTCTTTTTGTTCTACTCCTTACATTTTCACTCAGTTATCTGTACTCTTTCCATCTACATATATCTACTCCATTACTTAAAAGCTTTGTTATTTATTTTTCATTTAGGCTTGTCGTGTTAATAAAAACTCTAAAACAAAAACCCCTCCAGATTAATTATGTCATCCAGATTGAGAGAATTTCAGTATGCTGGACCATTCAGAAATCCTGGTTTAAACTCTCTATATGGTTCTTTTATTGTATCAGCATAAGAGAGTCAAGAGAGAGTCAAGAGTCATTTATTGTCATATTCTCCACATGTGCAGGACATACAGAGAAATACATAACACATAGTTGGTATAATTGCAGCTGAAGCAGGTATAGTTAATTAAATGTGTTAACATTAACATTTTATAAAACGTTAGTCTTTATTCAGTAAACATGCTTTTAGGGGAGGTGTGGTCCTGCTGATGTGTTAATTAAGCGTTTGTTAATTTTTTTATTGTAGGTTTTTACTTTTACTTGAGTAAAAAGCTTGAATTGATGCTTCAACTTTTAAGTCTTTCTAAAGGTAAACCATAACTTCTCACAACTCTTTGTTTCTCAAATATAATTTTTATTATCTTTCAAATTCAGAAAAAACTCTGAAACAATGACATAGATCATTATATTTCCTGTGACGTCATGATGCTACGGTTTATTTGCACTAATTAACATATTCATTGCAGATAAATAAGTCTGAAAACGATCTAAATGTGTAGTAAAAGGTCCTCACACTAACAAACCAAAGAAAGTAACGTGTCTGAATCTTTTCCAAACACCAGGAGCAAATGGGCGTTGGTGCCACTTTCTGACGTGCAGATCATGCGGATGTGCCCTGTCGCTCGGACGCGCACCGCCTCCATTTGTGCGTCTCTGACGGAGAAAGGTCCCGGGTGGTGGTGCCTGAAGCGGGATGGGCTGCAGGAGAGCTGGCTCACGACACGAGGATCTATAAACTTTTCCTTCTGGCAGCTTCGGCGCACAGACTTCCACCGAGTTTAACTCAAACCACAACAAAAAAAGCAACAGGAGAACGGTGACGCTTTTATTTCCTTTCTGCATGAATGAATGAGATACTTTCATCATAATTAAAGCAGGAAGTGTTTTACCTTGTTGAGTGCGTGCGTGCGCGCTGGGTGTCTTTTAGAAAAAATAAGTTACATAAGCTTATTTAGCTTTACTGTTGGAAGTTCAATTAAACAAAATAACTTACTAATTAAAAAAACATTTTAAATTGTTTATCATCTAACCCTGCTGAGATCTTCAGCTAGCTCTGATTGCTCAAATTGAAGTTGTTAGGGAGCTAACTCATGTAAAATGGGTGAAATAAAAACAAAAACACCAAACAAGAGCTCTAAATGTATTTTTAATTTAAAGTTGCTGGTTGATTTTAGTAAATGCTGAAACATAACCTCGGATTTTCCCTTTTCCTTTCATGTCCTTTACACATCTCAGTTTGCTCTGAGTCAAAGCAGCAAACATGGCACAGCTGTATTACAAGAAAAATGACACCTCCTCGTACAGAGACCGAATCCCGTTGCGGATAGTGCGGGCTGAATCGGAGCTCTCTCCCATGGAGAAAGCCTACCTGGGGGCTGTTGAAAAGGGGGACTATGGAAGTGTGAAGCAAGCCCTGGAGGAGGCAGAGATTTATTTCAGGATCAACATCAACTGCATCGACCCCCTGGGGCGCACCGCTCTGCTTATTGCCATCGAAAACGAGAACTTGGAGATCATAGAGCTGCTGCTGAGCTATAACATTCATGTGGGTGATGCCCTGCTGCACGCCATTCGGAAAGAAGTGGTGGGAGCTGTTGAGCTGCTTCTTAACCACAAGAGACCTCGTGGGGAAAAACAGGTAAGAGAAGAAAAACAGTAACTATCAATCATCACAAATTAGATGGGATACCGTTTTTATAATGACCAGAGCATAGTCCACCCTCCTCTCTACAGATTCAATCATTTTAATTATTTAATTACGTTATTTGTTTTCAATTTTGCTTCCCCACTAATGCAACTTGCTTTTCCTGTAAATTGCTTGGAACAATCTGTGAAGAAATGGAAAATGAAAAAGAATATTGCTGCTTTCAAGCAGGGAAATAATCTGAGACAAGTGAAACCGCAAGCCATTAGTTGTGTGTTTGCTGATAGCTAAAATCCTCTCTGATCTTTGCATCACTCGTATCCTCTGAACATGTCCGTTTCATGTCTGTTTTTCTTTCTTGTCTCCCTAAAAAGGTCCCACCGATTCTTTTAGACCGGCAGTTTTCCGACTTCACCCCAGACATCACCCCGATCATTCTCGCAGCTCACACCAACAACTATGAGATCATCAAGCTGCTTCTGCAGCGAGGTGTTTCCGTACCTCAGCCACATGCGGTGCGTTGCAACTGTGTGGAGTGCATGTCCAGTTCAGACATGGACAGCCTGCGTTACTCCCGCTCTCGTCTTAACATCTACAAGGCCCTAGCCAGCCCCTCGCTCATAGCTCTCTCCAGCGAGGATCCGTTCCTCACAGCTTTCCAACTCAGCTGGGAGCTGAAGGAGCTCAGCAATGTGGAGAACGAGTTCAAGGCAGAGTACCAGGAGCTGTCTCAAATGTGTAAACAATTTGCAAAAGATTTGTTGGACCAGACTCGAAGTTCTAAAGAGTTGAACATTATCCTCAACTACCGTGATGACATCAACCCTCTGCTGGATGAGAACATTAATGATTTAGCCCGGCTGAAGCTGGCCATCAAATATTCCCAAAAAGAGGTAAGCTATGGCTGCTGTGGCCTCCACAAAACGGGTGTTATTGTGCATTTAGGGGATAGTGTAACCAGATTTGTTGTAGTAAATGAGAAAGAGCCTTGCTTCAAATTTAACAAATATAAGAAATTGACATCACAGAATCTGATCGAAGTGGACAGAAGATAGAGACAAATGTTGAGATGAGCTTTAAATGGCCTGAAATGGGTGGAGACATCCTTTGGGAACCTACAACAACATGTAATTGCCAGTCTGGCTCTTACAAATGCATTACAGTAGACCGCTTAGGCAGTCCCATGATGATTAGATAATTGGGCGTAATGATGGAAGATGCACCAGCCATTTCCTTGAAATACAAACTCATGATATTTTAATAAGGGAGGAACCTCTCAACAGTTTTTAATTTCTGCTTTGGAACTTACATTTATTCGTTTGTTTCGTTTTGTTTTCAGAAGAAGCTAACACTTGAAATATTAGAAGTTTTAACAGCTGCAGAGTGAAACTGGCATGGAATCAGAATAATTAAGGAACGTAAATGCACGTCAGCATATTGATATCTGCAGTCATGCATTCCTGGAATGAAAAAAAAAGCTCCTCCTTGAACCGTCACCTTATCGTGGTGGAGGAGTTTGAGTGCCCTAATGATCCTAGGAGCTATGTTGTCTGGGGCACTTAGTGCCCCTGGTAGGGTCTCCCATGACAAATTGGTCTTAGGTGAAGGGTGAGACAAAGAACGGTTCGAAGGATCTTTCATGGCGGTTAAAACGAAGAGTCGGAGTACCCGGCCCGGAGGGTTACCGGGGTCCCACCCTGGAGCCAGGCCTGGGGTTGGGGCCCGTGAGCGAGCGCCTGGTGGCCGGGCTTTCGCCCATGGGGCCCGGCCGGGCCCAGCCCGAACCGGATACATGGGCTCGTCCAACTGTGGACCCACCACCCGCAGGAGGAACATGAAGGGTCCGGTGCAATGTGAATCGGGTGGCAGACCAAGGCGGGAGCCTTGGCGGTCCAATCCCCGGACAAGAAAACTAGTTTTTGGGACATGGAACGTCACCTCGCTGGCGGGGAAGGAGCCGGAGCTTGTGGCAGAGGTTGAGCGGTACCGGCTAGATATAGTCGGACTCACCTCGACACATAGCATTGGCTCTGGAACCCGAGACCTGGAGAGGGGTTGGACACTCTACTTTGCTGGAGTTGCTCCGGGTGAGAGGCGGAGGGCTGGGGTTGGCTTTTTGTTAGCCCCGAGACTCTCTGCCTGTGTGTTGGGGTTTACCCCGGGGGACAAGAGGGTAGCTTCCTTGCGCCTTCGGGTCGGGGAACGGGTCCTGACTGTTGTTTGTGCTTATGGGCCAAATATCAGTTCAGAGTACCCACCCTTTTTGGAGTCCCTGGGACGAGTGCTAGATAGTGCTCCATCAGGGGACTCCATTGTCCTGCTGGGGGACTTCAATGCTCACGTGGGCAATGACAGCTTGACCTGGAGGGGTGTGATTGGGAGGAACGGCCCACCTGATCAGAACTCGAGCGGTGTTTTGTTATTGGACTTCTGTGCAAGCCGCAGTTTGGCCATAACGAACACCATGTTCGAACATAAGGATGCCCACCGGTACACTTGGTACCAGGGCAGCCTAGGTCACAGGTCGATGATAGATTTTGTAGTCGTATCATCTGACCTGCGGCCGTATGTTTTGGACACCCGAGTGAAGAGAGGGGCGGAGCTGTCAACTGATCACCACCTGGTGGTGAGTTGGATCAGATGGCAAGGGAACATGCCGCGTAGACCTGGCAGACCCAAACGCATAGTGAGGGTCTGCTGGGAACGCCTGGCAGAAGAACCTGTCAAGACGGTCTTCAACTCCCACCTCCGGCAGAGCTTTGACCACGTCCCGAGAGCAGTGGGGGACATTGAGTCCGAGTGGGCCTTGTTCCACTCTGCGATTGTCGAGGCGGCTGTTGCTAGCTGTGGTTGTAAGGTGGCCGGTGCCAGTCGTGGTGGCAACCCCCGTACCCGCTGGTGGACACCAGAGGTTCGGGGAGCCGTCAGGCTGAAGAAGGAGGCCTACAGGGCGTGGCTGGTCTGTGGGTCTCCGGAGGCAGCAGACAGGTACCGGATAGCCAAGCGGGGTGCAGCAGTGGCAGTTGCCGAGGCAAAATCTCGGGCGTGGGAGGAGTTTGGTGAGGCCATGGAGAAAGACTATCGATCGGCTCCAAAGAGGTTCTGGCAAACTGTTCGGCGCCTCAGGAGAGGAAGGCAGCAACTCGCTCACACTGTTTACAGTGGGGATGGGGAGCTGCTGACGTCAACTGAGGCTATAGTCGGACGGTGGAAGGAATACTTTGAGGAGCTCCTCAATCCCACCAATGCGCATTCCGAGGAGGAACCAGAGCTGGGAGGCCTGGGGATGGACTGTCCGATCTCGGGGGCAGAAGTTGCTGAGGTAGTCAAACAACTACACAGCGGCGGAGCCCCGGGGGCGGATGAGGTTCGTCCTGGGTATCTCAAGGCTATGGATGTTGTAGGGCTGTCATGGTTGACACGTCTCTACAACATTGCGTGGTCATCGGGGGCAGTTCCTAGGGAGTGGCAGACCGGGGTGGTGGTCCCCATCTTTAAGAAGGGTGACCTGAGGGTGTGTTCCAACTATAGGGGGATCACACTCCTCAGCCTCCCTGGAAAGGTCTACTCCAAGGTACTGGAGAGGAGGGTCCGATCGATAGTTGAATCTCAGATAGAGGAGGAGCAATGTGGTTTTCGTCCTGGCCGTGGAACTGTGGACCAGCTCTATACCCTTGCAAGGGTGATGGAGGGGGCATGGGAGTTTGCCCAACCAATCCACATGTGCTTTGTGGATTTGGAGAAGGCTTATGACCGTGTCCCCAGGGGCACCCTGTGGGGGACGCTCCAGGAGTATGGGGTGGGTGGCTTTCTGTTAAGGGCCATTCAGTCCCTTTACCAGAGGAGCGTGAGTTTGGTCCGCATAGCCGGTAGTAAGTCGGACCTGTTCCCAGTGAGGGTTGGACTCCGCCAGGGCTGCCCTTTGTCACCGGTTCTGTTCATCACTTTTATGGACAGAATTTCTAGACGCAGTCGTGGTGTGGAGTGTGTCGAGTTTGGTGGCAGGAGAATCTCGTCTCTGCTTTTTGCGGATGATGTGGTCCTCCTAGCTTCATCCAGCTCTGACCTTCAGCTCTTGCTGGGTAGGTTCGCGGCCAAATGTGAAGCGGCTGGGATGAGGATCAGCACCTCCAAATCTGAGACCATGGTTCTCGACCGGAAAAGGGTGGCTTGCCACCTCCGGGTCGGGGGAGAGGTCCTACCTCAAGTGGAGGAGTTTAAGTATCTCGGGGTCTTGTTCACGAGTGAGGGTAGGAGGGATCGGGAGATCGACAGGCGGATTGGTTCGGCGTCTGCAGTGATGCGGACGCTGAGCCGATCTGTCGTGGGGAAGAGGGAGCTGAGCCAGAAAGCCAGGCTCTCGATTTACCGGTCGATCTACGTCCCAATCCTCACCTATGGTCATGAGCTTTGGGTAATGACCGAAAGAACGAGATCGCGGATACAAGCAGCCGAAATGAGTTTCCTCCGTAGGGTGGCCGGGCTCAGCCTTAGAGATAGGGTGAGGAGCTCGGACATTCGGGAGGGACTCGGAGTAGAACCGCTGCTCCTCCGGATCGAAAGGAGCCAGTTGAGGTGGTTTGGGCATCTGGTCAGGATGCCTCCTGGACGCCTCCCCGGGGAGGTGTTTCGGGCATGTCCTGCCGGCAGAAGGCCCCCGGGTCGACCCAGGACACGTTGGAGAGGTTACATCTCCAATCTGGTCCGGGAACGCCTTGGGGTCCTGCCGGAGGAGCTGGTGGACAAGGCCGGGGAGAGGACGGCCTGGAGCTCCCTAGTTGGGATGCTGCCCCCGCGACCCGGACCCGGATAAGCGGAGGAAGACGAGACGAGAGACGAAAAAAAAAGAAAGAAATAAAATAGAACAATAAGAACGGCTTTAATGCAGCGCATTATTAAGGCAACAAGATGCTGATGTGTATTTTTATTTATTTTTTTGGAGGGGGGCGGGTCTATTTAGTCTCAGCCCCCAAAATTCCTTGAAACAGCTGTGGGTGTGGGTCTGAATTGTGGAGGTGATCTGAATTGTATCAAATATACAAATATTACATGCATATAAATTGTTGCTTGATAAAGTTATAAGGTGTGGGATGAACCTGTTTATATTTTCCTTAACAAGCACTTTGTTTCGCTTTCTTGTTTTTTTATTGGGCTATTTTCCCGTCCTGTCTGTCTCTCGTCTTCCTGCATCTCCTATCAATCCTCCAGAAAAAATGTTGACTGGCTTCTTACTTTTTCACCTCATGAGATACTTTTGCACTAAGCTCACTGATCAAAGGGATCTACTGACCTCAAAAATAACAGAGTGCACACTGCGCAGCCGTACCAGTGAAGTGAAGTCACCTGAGCTCAGCAGCAGCGGGAGCACATCAGGCACAAATAAAAGACTGAAAACACTAGAAAATATTAGCGGACATGAATGATTGTGTGTTAATTATATTTTCATGGTGCCGTGAACTTAAGAATGTTACTGTAGCCGTGCACAAGATGCAGCAGCCAAGTGCACAATCAGAGATTTTTGTCCTCTTCTATCAAAAGGTGTCCCGGTACACTGAGAGTCCACATAAAGAATGCAGTATAGGTTGAAACTGAATCTTTTTTTGGGCTCCACCTGAGTGTGTAAGTTGAGGGCTTCTAGGGGAGCCTGTCCCTCTTTTCAGGGGAGCCAGGCTCCCCTTAGCTCCCCCGTAATTCAAACCCCGGTGCAATGGTTGCTTTTGGTCCAAAAGGCGTCATTGGCGGCGGGTTTTAGACAAATGCTAGAAAATCCATTTTACAAATGATCTTTTTTCATCTTTTTTTTATTTTATTTGTTTTCTAAATTTGCCATTACAGCTTTAAGTGCAGTTTCTGGTCAGCAGATGACTACAGAGTGATGTCCAATGTGAAGTTGGTCACGTTTATGGCTCAACAAACATCGAAACCAGTTTGAAAGCCATAGCTTGAAGTGTTAAAATCTTTTTGGTGTTGCGTTAATGTGATGCTGAGGAACATCAGCAATATTCCTTGAGTTGTTGCTCATCAAAATAGGAATGTTTTAAGGCTGTTTACAATTAAATTAGGTCCCATACAGTTTATCAAGGCTATTGGTAATCCTACTAGGTTTAAATGTCCAAGGAAGACACCCTATAATAACAGACCAAACACAGACCAAACAATGTTCAAAGGAAATGACTACAATGCCACATATTAAAGCCTCAAATAATAATAATTTAAGAGCTATGTCAAATTTGGAAATGTTGCTTTTAAACCTGGTAGGATTATCAATAGCCTTGATAAACTGTATGCTCCTGATTGTGGACTTGGCTGGTAAACAGCAGAGTTTAGGGGTGAAAATATCTTCTTTATAAAAATAAGCTTGGGTTTGCAAAGTTGTGTCTGAGAAAAGACCTCCATGATAATTTTCCTTTATCTAAAGCAGAAACTCACAGAGCCACAACGTCTGTTTCCTCTGCATGCTTACATGACCTGGTCCCATAATATAAAGTATTCTAAAGTCAAATGTGAGGCCATATGTCAAACAGCTGAAGCTTGGATCTGACTTGGTTTTACAACAACATAATGATCCAGAGCACAGCAGCAAATCTGCAACAGAAAAGCAGAACGAGTCATCCGTTCCAGTACAAATACCCTAGCCCTAGATGACCCCTCTACTATTTGTAGAAGCCAGCTCTCAAGACGGCAATACATTTGAGCCCCGGCCTCAAAATGATGACATCCATTTGGCATCAGGAGTGATAGAAATCATCTGCTGTGACCTTTGCAGTCACATGAAGTTCAATGTTCAAAACACCAGCACAAAGGAGTTTAACGTTGATAAAGGCTGCTTCATTCCTGCAGTAGAGTTGCAGAATGAAGACGAGAGGTTTCCAGTGAGAGATGATTTTCATGAGGTGTTCTTGACTGCAGGCAAAAAAGACTGACAAAGTGACAAAATAATGTCATAATGATATTTTCATGAAAGTTAAGAATGAAGGAATAAATGTCACTAATAAGCTATAATGACTTTTCCTAAATGATTCCTTTTTTTAAAATGCACCTTAGGCCAAAAAAGTACCAGAGTGATAGAAGAAGTAATATGTTTTCACAATATGAGCTTAGAGTACTTCTCTTTTTTCTAGGCACTACATTTCGTTTTATGCCTTGTCAATTTTCACAAGAAAAATTATTAAAGATGTAGTTCACTGAAAAACCATGTTTTATTTCTGACTAAAATCTGCCACTGCGAGCTTTTCATGCAGGCGGAACATGAAAATGGTCTCCTACCCCTATCTGCTGCATTAGCTTCTGAGGGAAAACAGACGGTGAAAATCCTGACAGATCTACGTCACTGTTACTTAACATTCATGAACTCACCCATCTTGACTCACGACGAGGAATGCTGTCGTTGGTTTAGCGTCCAGGAATCTGCAGACAACTTCCCAACTAGTAGAAGCTAACCGTTAGCATTAGCAACACCACCACACAAAAAAACTTGTGTTATTTGTGGAGATAAAACATCCATGTTGGAAGTCAGTGGTGGCATTGTGGTGTTGTTATCCAATCCGAGGCAAGATTTCCAAACATCAGGAAATAAGACACAAAACCTGCTGTGTTGTGCCACTCTCTACTGCAGCAGGCTTGTCCGTGCTGATCCAAGTGTTTCTGGGCTAATTTTGCCCCGAGTACGGCTTTCAAAGGCATTCATTCCTGTCAGAGGCCACTGCAAATGTTTTGTTTAAAAGAGTGAACCACACCTTTAAATATGTGAGTTTCAGGTCTTCATTGCTCATAGTTTCATAATTTATGCTGCAAAATCTTTTCAGGGCTACATTTGACCATAACATTAAGTTGAAATTATCCTCCATCTCCATCTGTAATTGTCCATATGATCTATAAAATATCAGCAGGCAGAAAAAACAACTGTGGGACACAGATCCAAATATTAAACCTGCCAAATGCTTTTTGATGAAATAAAAAAATAATGACATGTTTTAACTTTCTTTTTCTCAGTTTGTCGCTCAACCAAATTGCCAGCAGCTCCTGGCATCTCGCTGGTACAGTGAATTCCCGGGCTGGAGGAGGCGTCACTGGGCAGTGAAGCTCATCACCTGCATCTTCATTGGCTTCCTCTTTCCACTGTTGTCCACCTTCTACTTGATTGCTCCAAAGAGCTTCTATGGCCTGTCCATTCGTAAACCCTTCATCAAGTTCATCTGTCACACGTCTTCCTATCTGACCTTCCTCGTCCTGCTCTTCTTGGCCTCACAGCACATTGACTCTAGCGACACAGCTATCCGAGATGCAGCTCAGAGCCCAGCATCCAGCATTTACTCTAGCACACCAGCATGCCGCCGAGCTGAAACTCAGGGTCCAGCACCCACCGTTGTGGAATGGATCATCCTGCCCTGGGTGATTGGTAACAGTACACAGTCTTCTGTTAGTTTTTGCATGTTGTAGACATTTATTCAGCAGTCTTACCCTCTCCAATGAGGGCAGATATTAGTGCTTACCATAAAAGTATGTGAAATAAACAATCCTACATGGTTTTTATTAATAATTTTTAATTCCATGCAGTCATCCTCAAATGATTCCCCGCTTTATCACTCTTATTTAAACATCTTAAGGTTATATATGGATGGAGATCAAGCAGATGTGGGACAGTGGTTTAAAGGACTACCTGGATGACTGGTGGAACATTATGGACTTCATAATGAACTCCTTGTATCTCGCTACCATTTCTCTGAAGATCGTTTCCTACACAAAGGTAAGTCATTAGTGACGTTATGAGAAATATTTACCTCTCAAGGTGTTTCAAAGATGAACAGAATGTATCACCAAACAAAAAATTAGCCAATGTTGCTACAAAATGTGAAACTTTTCTTGTCTTATTTCTGTTTTAAACAGTACAGTGGATGCAAGCCTAGAAAAGATTGGGAGATGTTGCATCCTACTTTGATGGCAGAAGCCTTGTTTGCCATCGCAAACATCTTCAGTTCCTTACGCCTCATCTCTCTCTTCACTGCCAACTCCCACCTAGGCCCTTTACAGATATCTCTGGGCCGCATGCTTCTGGATATCCTCAAATTCCTCTTCATCTACTGCCTGGTTCTCTTGGCCTTTGCCAACGGCCTCAATCAGCTCTACTATTATTACAAGACAGAAGGAAAACCAAAAGAAAATCCTTGCAAGGGTATTCGGTGTAGTACACAGAACAACGCCTTTTCAACGCAAGTCAAAGTTTTTTTTCGTATTTCCACATTTAACTATAAATGTTGATTGCAAATGGATTTTCAACATGTTGGTTAACTAGATTTTTTGGGTCTTTGCTTTTCAGATTGTTTGAAACCCTTCAATCGTTATTCTGGTCTATATTTGGCCTGATTAGCCTCTATGTGACCAACGTAGACCCAGATCATGAATTCACAGAATTCGTGGGCTCCACTATGTTCGGTACATACAATATTATCTCCTTGGTGGTGCTTCTGAACATGCTAATTGCAATGATGAACAACTCCTACCAACACATCGCTGTGAGTAATCATGGGAAAAAAAACAATATTTTAATATATCCCATTCCCATTGAATTTATCCCAAAAGCTTAATGGTTTATGTCCTTCCTTCTCAGGATCACGCAGACATAGAGTGGAAATTTGCACGAACTAAATTATGGATGAGCTATTTTGAAGAAGGGGGGACTTTGCCATCTCCATTCAACATCGTCCCCAGTCCAAAATCGGTTTGCTATCTAGCAGGATGGATAAAAACACATTTGTTTAGAAGACGAGGCAAAAAAACATGCGACTCATTTGAGACTTTGGGGGTAAGGAATCACCAGAATCACCAGTCAGCACTTCCTGATGTTCAATATCTCAACGCTCTTTGCTCTAAAAGAATTCCAATTAAATTAAATAATTTTCTTTCTCCAGAGATTGATTATGTTAATTTGTATCACAAGACATTCTAATGAGAAAGAGCCAACTGAATAAATAAACAGATACAATACATGACATTTGTTTCTCTTTAATTGAAGACCCGTGCAGCAGAAAACATCCGATTAACTCATGAATTTCAGGTTTGCTCTTTATAATGTAGCTAAATTTTTCATTTTTTGCACTTTTGTCTATATTAATGATTGTAAAAATGTCTCTGAAACTCATTGTGCCTTTTTAGGAAGTCATGAAGAACCTTGTGAAGCGATATGTGGCTGCAAAGATCAGAGATGCAAAAACTGAAGAAGGACTGACGGAGGAAAATTTCAAGGTCTACATAGAAATTTACTTAGCTTTTTATAATTTTACAATAATTTCTGCTTGTTAACCTCCGGTTTTAAATCCATCAACAGGAACTGAAGCAAGACATCTCAAGCTTCCGTTATGAAGTTTTGGCAATGACGAAGAATAGGCCTAACTGTGGTGGATCAAGTCCACTTTCAGGCTCTTCGCTAGCTTACGCAGGAAACTCGTTTAGGTATTGTCCCAAAGTATCTACTGATGAACCTCAAAAGAAGCCAAAGTTGCTCGATGTGATCAACTCCACCACCTTGCAAAATAAAGCTGGCAAAACCACCATCTCTGTGAGCTCAGATAAGTCAACGGATGGTTTGGTTGTGTTGTCTAGCACAGAAAAGACGTTGTCCAATGAGGTTTTGAATGCTGAATGTCCTCAGAGACAGAGGCAACTTTCCACTCAGAATGAAACATGCTCACCGCCAGAGCAGAATCCTTTCAATACTGGAAGTTCGAACAAAGATAGGAATGTGGAAACCTCACAGACGGTCCCGACTGATGTTCAAGAAACGGGTTTTTCTTTCACAGTTCACACCAGTGAAGTAGAAAATGCCTCCTGTAATGCAAATACGACTCGGTGAGTAAGCAAGGGTTGTTTCAATTTTTAAATGTGCACTAAATTAAATGAAATTACATTTATTTAATTTTATTTAAAATAGTTATTAGTTATGAGTTAAACTGTGGCTATATTTATCAACCTACATTTGATCATGAATAGAATAATAATTATTTAATGATATATCACAATGATATTGAGGGTATTGTTTACTTAGTGCTCAGGGAATAATTTATGTTTGATCTTGAGTTGTTTATGTGCTTAGCAGCATCTTGAGTAAATAAATCCAAAGAAATATGACACCTGGATGCCTTTTCCCTTGTTAGGTCTTCTAATATTCTCTCACTATAAAAACAGTATTACTCCTGACAATGTACATTTATAAAAATGTAAAAAACTAACCAGGAAAATTTACATATGTAAATTTATTAACATTGTGTATGACAACGTCAATCGTAATCACTGCTGGAGATCATTTAATATTGTATTTGGACTCTTCAGATGTTTTTTATGCGCAATGTAGGGTTCTGCATTAAAGTTAATTTATTCTTTTTATTTATTGCCTAGAGATGATTTATTTATTATTTATGCTGAATCCAAATAAAATTTATCAGCTTTTGTATTTTGTAGTACTGTTAATTTGTAAATATTTGATTGTTACTAACACTTTTACCAATTGTAAGATGTAATACAACCACTCTTTAATAAATATAACCAGATTTCAAGCATGTTTTCAAATGTTTTGGTCTCTTTTTATACAATGATGTAAAAAGCGTTTTGAACATTAACAGGAGGACAGATGTCTGTCTGTTTGATTGTAAATGTATTTATTATGAAGAGAAAGAAGAGGTAACTATATGCTGGTAAAGGTTCTCAGAGAAGAAACTTTATATAGTACTTTGTACCTGATACAATCACAAAGTGTGTCACAGAAACAATAAAACAACAAAAGTATTACAGAAAAGTGAGACAGAGGAATAAAGTGTGTGTGTGTGTGTGTGTGTGTGTGTGTGTGTGTGTGTGTGTGTGTGTGTGTGTGTGTGTGTGTGTGTGTGTGTGTTGAGGATAGGAGCTAGTCAACTAAAAGCTCGTCAAAATAAAAAGGTTGTCAGTTGTTTGTTTAAGAACAATTATAATCAGCCTCAGGAATGGAGGTCGACAGGGCCTTCCATAGTTTTGGGGTGACGGACTGAAATTACATGTCTCCCCTGGTTTTAAGGCGGGTTCTGAAGGACCATCAGGAGGTTCTAGCTCCAGGGTCGTAACAAGTGACCAGTGGTGTACAGGCTCCCAAACACACTTCCTTAATTTGAGATTGTTATCGACACCTTCATCTCCTCACGCAGAGACTACTGCAACTCTCTTGTTGGTTCCGAACGCCTGTGCTCGGCTTCTGACCAAGTCCTCCAAACACACCCACATCACCCCGCTTCTCCTCCAGCTTCACTGGCTGCCAGTCAACTTCAGGGTTCATTTCAAGATCCTGGTTCTGGTCTATAGGGCCTTACATGGACAAGCACCATCATACATTGGTGATCTTCTTAGTCCGTCCACCCCCAGCAGGTCCCTGAGGTCCAGTGACCAAAGCCTACTGGTTGTGCAGCGCACCAGGCTAAAGACCAAAGGTGACAGATCATTTGCTGCTGTGGCCCCCAGACTCTGGAACTCTCTCCCCCTGAGATCAGTGGACTCAGTGGTCTCCTTTAAAAAGCAGGTGAATACTCACCTATTCAAAATGGCTTGTGTGACCTTCATCCTCTTCATCCTCACTCACTCCCTTTCATGCTGCAGCTTCTGTCAATTTTGTTTTTTTTCTAGGCTCCCGTGTTTAAAAAGTTCATTTTAATTCTTACTTTAAATCTTAATTTTTCTTTATTTCTCCCATTTTTTATGATAAAATAAATCAAAAGTTACTGTTTTTGTGAAGCAGAATTTTATTTTTATTTTCAGAGGTGCTATATAAAAATTTTCTGTTCCTCCCCCTCCTCCAGTGGTGTGACCATAAGTGGCATCCCTAAAATGCAGAAGGCAGAAAACAAGTGTAGGAAAAGCTGCAGGTACAATTAGTTGCTTTCAGTCTATAATTAAAAATATTCTGTATTTTTGCGTCACTACAAGTGTTAAACAGACTTTTTAACAAGAGGTAGTAATGACTTCTCACTGTTTGCACAAATATGCAAACGTCACTCCCAAGGGAACATGAAGCTTACAGGAAGTCTCAATGAAACTAAAGTCAGTTCTTGTTACCATAGTAACACCCCTGTCAGTAAACCTATACTTACTTAAAAGGAACTTTCTAACAAGATTCAAACAGAGAAAACAATGTAAAAACTTTTTTTTGCAGCTGTTGATGTGTGCATTAAAGTAGTGGTTCAGGCTGAGTGTTCCAAAAGCCAACACTGCATTTATTATCACTGCAGGGATTTTATAAGTCATATTTTCATCCACATGCAAATGAGCTCTCAGTTTTTTTCCGGTCTGATTCGTGAGATTGGAAAAGTAAAGTGAATATTTTCCAGAGTGATTTTTTCTGTTATAAGTGGTTTTACAAGGTCTTAAGTTAGAGTCATATTAAGTTTGTTGCTTTTTAAAAGCCAGTAAATTGCTTTCCTGGCCACACATGAGGCATCTAGCTGAAGTCACAAGGTTTAACAACGAGCGCTGAGCCTCACTAATGCTGCTTTTGAGTAATAACTACAATAAATTCATGTTGTAAATAAAATGATGTAGTCTTTCAGAAAATACAGCAATGCATTATTGAGCCTTTCTGAGTGAAACTGTTATTTACAAAACTTTTTCAAAAGCTTGCTTATTAAATTCGTTCATCGCCAACTGAAACATCCCCCAGGGCCCCTTACAGAGAAAATTAAACTCGGAAATTAATGTCCAATTATATGCAGTCTAATTAAACTCAATTATCTTTTAATTCAATCTAATTATAATCTAGCTCAATCTAATTTATTCAAACTCTGTCCCATAACGGTTCGGTAATAGCCACATTGCCATAGTAAAATGGAGACCATTAATATTTATAAAATGCCAATTATTTAAGGTGTCCAGCTAAAAAACAAACATGTCATATAAATAATAAATATATTTTCACTCCTTTATCTCTGATTTATGAGTTGCTATTAGCTGCTGCTCGTCTGAGCTGTTGGTTTATTGTCCTTTCCTCTTTAACAGCTCTAGTGTTTTAAATTTCTCATACAGTATTTATGAGTTATTTTACAGACGGTCATTTCCTGTGATGGTTTCATCGCAGAAAATTTAACCGTGCAACGCAAAAGCAACACTTCTGCTCCAGAATGACGGCAATGAAAGTTTGTGCTGTATGTCTTTTAAAAATGTGGTTTGTGGAAGGACATTTAAAATGAAATCAGGTTAAAATGTAATTCATTTGGATTGCAGATACGTTTCCTTTTTGTTTGTTGTGTAGTTTTTGATTTTGTTTTATTTATTTTTTGTTGCTTTAGAGATGAAAGAGCAAATTAATTTTGTATCTTATCCCAAATCCTTTTAACCAGAATCAATGATCTTTCCTGCCACTAGAGGGAGTAAATGTTTCGTTAAAAATGCTCTTTCACAGCAGATATGACTTTCTTTGCTTTAAGACATTTTTTATTTGAAATCTCACCACAGAAAATTGCAAATTCAGTTCTGCACCTGAACAACTTTTCCTACTCTAACTATATATTTATTTTCCACATAATGCATTAAAAGTGGATTAAACATCATTACAACCAACATGAAAGAAAAGTAAGTAAGTAAGTAAGTAAAAGTTTATTTATATAGCGCCTTTCATAGATATAAATCACAACTGTTTTCAATTAACAGGGAATGACAAATTTTGGCACAATATCTTAAAAGGTATTTCTGGACATTTAATGTTAAATAATTCATTGACAGCAATTCATCATGCTAAAAGTGATGAAGTCCAGTAAAAAGTAAAGGAAATGTGGCATTTGGAGTAGCTTGGGTGGTGTGAGTATTTTAGCCATCCTCCTAGAGAGAAGGCTGAGACTTGTGCTATATAAACCCGGGCTGAGGCACTGCTCTCACTTCTCTGGGTTTGGAGGGGCTTCCAGGAGTGAGAATGAAGCTCCTTTGTGCAACTGCCTTTGCACTCTTTGTGCTTTCTGCTCTTGATTATGCTGATTCCTCAGCTTATGACAAAATAGTTAGCCACAGCCGCATTAGGGCAAGAAAAGAAGGGTAAGCTTCACAAAATTAAATGTTTTCTCTTTATTTTAGTTAAACATGCTTGAATTTATGATTCTAATACCTTATTTGATTAATACATGAGTTATTTGTTTTTTATTTTTTGCATTTCTACAGCTGTTCCTTATTTAGTGCCCATCAGTGTTTTATTGTTAAACTGCTAACTTTTGCTTTTCAGTTTGAGTAATTAAAAAATGTATTTTAATCAACATTCTATAAAATATAATTGAATGGCAATTATTCACAAGGAAAAATCTAACTAAAGAGGCAATTGAATCACAATTTAAAACTGCACAGCAGGATCAGATTTCATTATTCATATCAGACTGCCTTGCTTCAGAAGCAGCAGGGGTTGCTGCTAAATTATTATTCATTCCTGCCAGTTGGATATCTTAGCCAAATACGGCTTTTTCCTCATAGATTCATTTGTATGTGCATCATTTGGTTTTGAAAACTTCCTACAATTTTTTAGATGCTGATTAATTTTCTGGCCTTCTTTTCTGTAACAAATCTCATTAGACCCAACGTCTGTGCACTCCAGCAAGTCATGGGAACAAAGAAGAAATACTTTAGCACTTGTCGTAATTGGTACCACGGATCCATTTGTGGAAAGAAAGCGTAAGTTTCTCACTCCGTATATAAATATATATTATTTAAATAAAGTAAAATGTTTTAACTATAGCTTCAGTTATGTGTGCTTCTGAATGTTTTGTTTCTGTCTTTTGTTCCACGCTTTCTCCCCTCTTTTTAAGGGTCCTACTGGAAACTTGGATGTTTCCCCAGCACATAGACATCTGCTAAGTTACTCTGAATTACACTTGTGTGTAAAATGACATTTATGGAAGCAGCCCTGAGCTCTTCATCTTGAAGACAATCTTATTTGATCCCATAAACTCCAAAAGGGGGATTTCTAATGTTCGAAGCCTTGTCGTCATTGGGCGCCACAGCGGTGAACCACTGATTCCAGAATATGATGTGCCTGCAAAACGTTGAATGAATGGAAACATGTTCAGCTCAATCATTAAAACCCCCCTTTTTGGCTGTTATTCCAACTGGTTCAGCACTTTTGAATTTAAACGTGGAGCCAAGCCTGGCTTGTTTTTAGGCATCTCTGATTTGGTTTCTCCCTTTCATACACAATCTGACAACTATTCTGTAGATTTTTAAATATAATAAGGTTCAGACTAGTCAATACATTTTAGTGCAAGTTCAACTAGAATAGGTAAACCTATAAAATATTTCCACTTTAATTTAAATTATTAGATGAACAGACAAGCAGAGTACTTGGAATGTCTAGTTTACATTTGCTATGTCAGACTGATTATATTTCTCTCATTTATTGCCCAACATCCATCCATCCATCCATCCATCCATCCATCCATCCATCCATTTTCATCCACTTATCCGGAGTCGGGTCGCGGGGGCAGTAGCCTAAGGCGAGAGGCCCAGACTTCCCTCTCCCTAGCCACTTGGGCCAGCTCCTCTAGGGGAATCCCAAGGCATTCCCTGGCCAGGTGAGAGACATAATCCCTCCACCGTGTCCTGGGTCTACCTTTAGGTCTCTTCTCGCTTGGATGTGCCCGGAAAACCTCACCAGGGAGGCGTCCAGGAGGCATCCTGACCCGATGCCTGAGCCACCTCAACTGGCTCCTCTCGATGTGGAGGAGCAGCGGGTCTACTACGAGCCTGTCCCAAATGACCGAGCTTCTCACCCTATCTCTAAGGGAGAGCCCAGCCACTCTTCGGAGAAAACTCATTTTGGCTGCTTGTATCCGCAATCTCGTTCTTTCGGTCACTACCCAAAGCTCATGACCATAGGTGAGGGTAGGATCGTAGATCGACCAGTAAATCGAGAGCTTCGCCTTCTGACTCAGCTCTCTCTTCACCACAACAAACCAGTACAATCAGAATCAGAAAGAATTGTATTGCCAGCGCTCCAGCGAACCAGAGCATAGGAACTTGACTCCAGAGAACAGCCTGACCAAGATTACACACACACATATAGACAGGACAGATACAGGCAGACCACGAGAGCAGCCACAACGGCGCTCATTTCAATAGATGAAGAGGAGATTACATGAGGAGAGTTCGGGGAGGGAGAAAAAGGCATTAACAGAGTTACACCGGCAGGGTGTAGCTCTACTATGCAAAAAAAAAAAAAACACCTCAACATATAAGCACGAACATCACAGTTCACAACATGAGACCCGGTAGGTAGGCAGGGGGGGGCTGAGACCCTGGTTTCCTCAGCGGGAGCAGCCTGTGTGGTGCTTGGCCAACTGGATCCACAGGTGGGTGGGAGGTCATGGGAAAGCACAGAGCACAGTGAGTGCCTCCATCTTGATGACCTCGATGCAGAGACCACAATCTGAAGGCGGGGGGGGGGGGGGGGGGGGGGTAGGTAGGGTTTTCACAGAATTTGTCTGCATTCCTTCCATCGTGGGGGTTTTTGCACGCAACTCCAAGGCTGCTCATGGCGTCAGATTGGATAACAGGACTTTGTTTGGGTCAGGCAGAGATCCTTTCCCCCTCTGCCTTAAAGTCTGTATTGATCATTCAAGTCCTCCAGTGAAGCCAATTCAGTGATTAAACACCTCCACACCGTCCGGTGACCCTCTCCGAGATGACATCCATTTTGCGCACTAACACTGGTAACGCAGCTAAGACATTGTCCAGCTGGCGATTCACCTCGAGTAATGTCCCAGTCTGTGAAGTCTCCACCTGGACGGTGCCGTCCATGGGTGCGAGTCGCCCTCCAATCGCTCCTGTCATCAATTTTTCGGAAAACCAGATATCCTCCCACTCCAATCAGAAGAAATCCAGTGATCATCAGGCCAAATATCCACATATCTTCGACGTTCTCAATGGACAGCTGAGAGAGACAGATGACATTCCACTTCTTCCAGGAATCGAGCATATATCCCGCTGCGTGTGTCCCGCGAGGGCAAGCCCGAGCCCCCTCCTCCGTTCTCATCGTAGAAAAAATCTTATCAATCATGTTGAATGACCAATTAATTAAATCCATTTCTGAAAAATAGTGATTTCCAGAGGAAATGCAGAGAAGCGCTCTGTAGGCAGATGGGACAGAAAGAGCCTTGGGAAAAAGATAAGATAAGGGAGCAAAGCAGAAGTGACTGTGCTCTGTGAGTGCCAGAAGAGAATGCCCACATCACTGCAGATGCAGCCCCAATCCACCTATCGATCTCACCCTTCAGTTTTCCCTCATGCGTGAACAAGACCCCGAGATACTTAAACTCCTCCACTTGGGGCAGGACCTCATCCCTGACCCGAAGGAGGCATTCTACCTTTTTCCGAATCAAGACCATGGTCTCAGATTTAGAGGAGCTGATTCTCATCCTAGCTGCTTCACACTTGGCTGCGGACAGCTCCAGCGAAAGCTGAAGATCACGTTCTGATGAAGCCAACAGGACCACATCATCTGCAAAAAGCAGAGACCTGATCCTCAGGCCACCAAAACGGATGCCCTCCACACCTTGGCTGCGCCTAGAAATCCTGTCCATAAAGGTTATGAACAGAATCGGTGACAAAGGGCAGCCTTGGCGTAGTCCAACTCTCACTGTGAACGAGCCCATCTTACTGCCGGCAATGCGGACCAAGCTCTGACACCAGGCATACAGAGACCTAACAACCCGTATCAGAGGGCCTGGTACCCTATACTCCCGGAGTACCCCCCACAGGGCCCCCAGAGGGACGTGGTCAGACACCTTCTCCAAATCCACAAAACACATGTAGACTGGTTGGGCAAATTCCCACACACCCTCCAGGATCCCCCTAAGGGTATAGAGCTGGTCCAGTGTTCCACGGCCAGGACGAAAACCACATTGCTCCTCCTGATTCTGAGGTTCAACAATCCGATGGACCCTCCTCTCCAGAACCCCTGAATAGACCTTACCAGGAAGGCTCAGGAGTGTGACCCCCTGTAGTTGGAACACACCCTGTGGCCCCCCCTTTTAAATAAGGGGATCACCACCCCGGTCTGCCAGTCCAGTAGGACTGCCCCCGATGTCCACGTGATATTGCTGAGCCGCGTCAGCCAACACAGCCCCACAACATCCAGAGCCTTAAGGAACGCCAGGCGGATCTTATCCACCCCTGGAGCCTTGCCACAGAGGAGCTTTTTAACCACCTCAGTGACCTCAGCACCAGAGATTTGAGAGGCCAACCCAAAGTCCCCAGTCTGTGCTTCCTCACTGAAAGACATTTCGGTGGGATTGAGGAGGTCTTCGAAGTATTCTGCCCACCGATCCACAATGTCCTGAGTAGAGGTCAGCAGCACACCATCCCCACTATAGATAGTGTTGGTAGTGCAGTGCTTTTCCCCCCTGAGGCGCCGGACGGTGGACCAGAATCTCCTCGAATGGAAGTCTTGCTCCATGGTCTCACCGAACTTCTCCCATGCCTAGATTTTTGCCTTGGCGACCACCCGAGCCATGTTCTTCTTGGACTGCCGGTACCCGTCAGCTACCTTTGGAGTCCCACAGGCCAAAAAGACCTGATAGGACTCTTTTTTCAGCTTACCTCTGGAGTCCCGCAGGCCAAAAAGACCTGATAGGACTCTTTTTTCAGATTGACAGCATCACTAACCGCCGGTGTTCACCAGCGGGTTCGGGGGTTGCCACCACGAAAGGCCTGGGACCACAGCTCCGGTCGGCCACCTCAACAATGGAGGCACGGAACAGGGTCCATTCAGACTCAATGTCCCCCGCCTCCCCCGGAACATTTTGGAAGTTCTGTTGGAGGGGGTAATTGAAGCTCCTTCTGACAGGAGACTCTGCCAGACATTCCCAGCAGACCCTCGCGATATGTTTGGGCCTGCCTGGTCTGACCGGCATCCTCCCCCACCATCTGAGCCAACTCACCACCAGGTAGTGGTCAGTTGACAGCGCCGCCCCTCTCTTCCCCTGAGTGTCCAAGACATGCGGCCGCAGTTCAGATGAAACAACAACAAATTCGATCATCGAGCTGCGGCCTAAGGTATCCTGGTGCCAAGAGCACATATGGACACCTTTATGTCTGAACATGGTGTTCATTATGGACAATCCACGACTGGCACAGAGGTCCAATAACAAAACACCACTCAAATTCAGATTGGGGGGGTTGTTCCTCCCAACCACACCTCTCCAGGTCTCACCGTTGTTGCCCACGTGAGCGTTAAAGTCCCCCAGCAGAGCGAGGGAGTCACCGGATGGAGAACTCTGCAGCACCTCCTCCAAGGTCTCCAAAAAAGGTGGGTAGACTGAACTGTAGTTTGGTGCATAAGCACAGACTACAGTCAGAACCCATCCCCCCACACTTAGGCGGAGGGAGGCTACCTTCTCATTCACTGGGGTAAACCCCAACGTACAGGCATCAAGATGGGGGCAACTAGTATGCCCACCCCTGCTCGGCGCCTCTCAGTAGGAGCAACTCCAGAGTGGTAGAAAGTCCAGCCCTTCTCAGGGAAACTGATTCCAGAGCCAGAGCCATGCGTTGAGGTGAGTCCGACTATACCTAGTCGGAACCTCTCAACCTCACACACCAACTCAGGCTCCTTCCCCACCAGAGAGGTGGCATTCCATATGCCAAGAGCCAGCTTCTGTAGCCGAGGATCAGACCGCCAAGGGTCCTGCCCTCGACTACCACCCGTCACACACTGCACCCGACCCCTTTGGCCCCTCCCACGAGTGGTGAGCCCATGGGAAGGGGGACCCATGTTTCCTCTTCGGGCTGTACCCGGCCAGGCTCCATGTATGAAAGCCCGGCAACCAGGCACTCGACCAACGTGCCCCACCTCCAGACCTGGCTCCAGAGGGGGGCCCCAGTGACCCACGTCCAGGCGAGGGAACACGGTTATCATTTATATAATTCATTCATTCATAAGAGGTCTTCGGGCTGCTCTTTGTCTGATCACTCATCTAGGACCTGTTTGCCATGGGTGACCCTACCAGAGGCCGAAAGCCTCAGACAACTTAGCTCCTAGAATCATTGAGACACTCAAACCCCTCCACCACGGTAAGGTGGCAGCCCAGGGAGACGCAACATTTCTATTTTAAAAGTAATAGGAGTCCTAACTTTCAAGGTCCCTAAAGAATAAATTATGATTTTACAGATAAAATGTTCTTTTAGCACAATAAATGCATAGATTACAACATACGTTTTATTGTTGGAGAATGCCTGTACATAGTTATAAAGTTATAACACTAATAACTTGGATCGGATAACTGAAAACTTTTTTCTCTCCAAATGCAGGTCGTTATATATTTTAAAAGCTACTTTTTGATCAGTTCAGGTTGCTGCCAGGTCAGTCAAGACAGGAAACCTTTTCATATTGTTCCAACAGGGTCTAACTTAATGCAGCAGCCAAAATTTTTGACAACTCTCTGAGGGAACATTTCTGCTTCCAATGCAGGTCTGAGTCCAAGAAAACTTTAACTTTCAGACGACCCTTTGGCGAGGATTAAAACTCTGTACATTACAAACACGATACTTCACACAAAGTTATCAAAATTTCTTGTGCTCTTAAAGATAATGATGGTCAAAAGTTGAACAAAACAAAGGAGATGATTTTAGACTTCGGAAGAAACAGGGTGGAGTCAAACACTGTTTCTCGTGAGCTCATCCCAGGCTGTGGAACTCCATTCAACCTTGATTCAAGTACAGCTGTTTTATGCATGCAGTTAGCCAAGACCCTGCAGCGGAGGTCTGTGCACTGTCAGAAACACTGAACACATGAAAATTATTATTTAAAAAAAAACTGAAAAAAAAGCAAGCCTTAGTAAACCTTCAAAGTCTTAACTCTTGATGGTTTCAAAGCCTGGATTTTTAGGTATGACACACAAATGAGGTTCTATCTTGGAATATACTAGATTTTTCACAAACATTTTTTATGAAATACAATTAAAAAATGACTTTAAATAAGTCATTTTTATATGAATTCAATTGCAGCTTTCTACTACAATAAGAAAGCATGCTGGTATGCAGATTTGACATACTGTACTTGGTATAGTCTTAAACCTTAGCACGTTTTACATGTTATGCATCAATTTACATTTTACAAGGTCTATTTTTTCATTTAGCTAATTAAAAAAAGCAAAGACACAATGATGTTCCTAATGTTCCCAGTGTTCACCCTAACTGTGTTTTTGCTATAAGCTGGAACAGACACAATTTAAAACTGGGTAATATGACCTAATGAACTCTGCTGCCAACTAGGAACATATGGTACTCTTTACCCTTAATACCCACATCAATGGTTTCCTTTATGTCTTGTGGTGTTTTTTTAGTTTAATATCCACGAGTTATTTAGAACTAGATGCACATCTCCACAAGTGTAGTTTTCCCATTGATAGAGTCACTGTTGTAGTTCCAACGGGACCAAACATGCTGACACAAGTTGTGTTTTTATTTCACAGCTGCACTTTGAATTTTACAATTCTCTTCAGGCTGTATGGTGTCAGGCAAAACAAGGGGGAAGACACAGTCATCACTTGCTTCTCTGCCAGTAAAAAAAAAAAAAAAAAACAACCATTTCTTTATTGTGTTTAATTAGCTTATCTGTATTAAAACGTTTATTCCAAACTGTAAAACACTGCAGTAAAGATGTTTTTAGCACAAGTGTTCTCTGAAAGCATATCAAAACTCATGTTTGTTGTGTTAAGTAAACACTTTCTGAAGAACATATTTGCAGTTGGTCAAATGCCAAGAAAAGACCAAACCAGTTAGCTTCAAAGAGAAAGTCCTGGCTACAAGATGTACTACTGTATTGGTAGCATAAACCTCAAAATACCCTTTCCATTAGGTTTAGGCTCAAACTGCTGGATCACATGGTCTTTTGGAACAACCCACAAGGTAATACGTTACATCTGGATACATAAAAGTCTTTTCACCAACACCAAATGATGACTCAAACAAAAACATATCAGCCATGACAAAAGCCAAATTTATTTCAAAACTCAAATGGAAAAGATCTTGGTATATGGTTTCAAAGGAATTGCAGAATCTATGTTTTGTGTTTTGTCTGCAGGACTGTGCTTTATGAGTGCTGCCCAGGGTACATGAAGCTTGATGGCATGCTCGGTTGTCCTGCAGGTACAGTGCAATGTCTAACTTTTTGTGTCAAAGTTACAAGAAGCTAAATCCTACAGCTGTCAGTCAGATGTGTGACACATAGTGTAATAACATTTTGTTAGCCCGTGTTTCAAGTTTTTTGTTTATTCCTATTTAAGTTGCTCCAATTGACCACGTTTATGGAAGTTTGGGTCTCGTGTCTGCCACTTCAACCCAAAACTATGCCGACATTTCAAAGCTAAAATCTGAGATCGAGGGGCCGGGATCTTTTACTTTCTTTGCTCCTAGCAATGACGCATGGGACAAGTTGGACTCAGTAAGTCAAGATAAAACAAAACTTTCTGTAACTACTTTGTCAGTCAGATTTTAAACTTTTATACTTCTCATCTTACAGGAAGTGAGGGCTGCACTGGTCAGCAACGTCAACATCGAACTGTTCAATGCTATGCATTATCACATGGTTAACAAACGCCTCTTGACCAAAGATTTAAAGAATGGACTGAAAGTAACTTCTATGTACAATGACCTAGGTCTCCATATCAATCATTATTCCAATGGGGTGAGTACATCTGAGCCGTTAGTTGAATAAACAATAACTTTTTAAGACAGCGGCGATAAAATGTATGTAATGTGCAGGTGGTGACTGTGAACTGTGCAAGGATTATCTATGGCAATCAGGTTGCCACCAATGGCGTTGTGCATGTCATCGACCGTGTCATCACCAGTGTTGGAAACACCATTAAGGATGTCATTGAAGTCAATGAAGACTTGTCAACTCTGAGTGTAAGTGTACAGAAGGCAAATGTATTCATTTTTACTTTTTAATGTTTGCTGAATTCCATAAAAATGACTTTCATTGTGAAACCATCTTTTAGGATATGGCTCTAAGCGCTGAACTGCTTGATAAACTTGGTCAGCAAGGACACTTCACTCTCTTTGCTCCCACCAATGATGCCTTTGATAAGATTGATGGTGAAGTAATGGAAAGACTTTTAAGAGACAAAGACGTTCTCAAAGGTGAATGCAATTACTCTTCACAAGTTTCTGCATCTAAAGAGCCAAATGCAATAAGTTCATACTTTTGTCATTATTCCACCTCACAGAATGACTTGGGAGCCTAACATTCCTTTAAATTTAAATAACAAAGACATATATTTGAATTCTCGAGTTTAAGAATTAGCATTTTTCTACTCCTTCAATTTTGAATGTATGTATGTAAGACAGAACTTAATTTTGATTTGAAATGTGTGTGTGTGTGTGTGTGTGTGTGTGTGTGTGTGTGTGTGCGGGGGGGGGGGGAGTAATGCAAAATGTACATGTAATTTTGTAATGTTTGTCCCATTTAAATACTCCTTTCAGTAAAAAAATAAGTAGAAGTAATTAATTATTTTGATTTTAGAAAACCTTAGAGGCTAATTACCTCACAGGCATTTAGATTGGAGGTTCTGGAAAAAATGGATTAACATCCCATTCGAGATTCTTATTTATAAAGATTATGAATTGATCTGAAATTTCCAAGTTTTGTTACCTGAGAAGGGATTTTCCAAACCTTTCCTTGCTTTTTCACTCTCGTACTGTTTATCAGTCAGTGTGTTCCATAACCATATACAACTCTACTAAATTAATAGCTAAATTTACCCTTATTATCGCATTGTTACAAGGGTCACCTGTGAATCCTCTGCCTCTCTACCGACATCTCTATCTGGGCAGTCTGCTTCTCTCACCTGACTAAATTACATCCTAGCAAGGGCACCCCCAAGGGGTAGCCAGGTGTGGCCATGGCCACCCCTAGAAAACTGCTGCCCCCACCCCAGGAAAAGGCAGTGTTAACAAATCCTATTAATGTTCAGTCAAACCATATATTGATATTTTTTAATTCAAGACATAATTGTAAAACAAAATTAAAGTATTACAATTAATGAACAAAGAAATAATCAGAATAAAAAAAATACATATGTTTCTGCTGCTCACTAGTTAAAAAAAGTTTTTAATCACCATAGTTTTTATTTTGATTTTTTTGTGACCACAGCAACAGGTGAATTAACCTAATAAAAATTCATTTATAAATAAAATTTGGGATAACATTTTAAATAACTGACATGTATTTTTCAAAAATGTTTGTGTTTGTAAAATTTTAGTTTAATGTTTTGGATATGTTCTGTTATTTTAATAAAAAACAAATAAAGGCGCAATGCAGTACATCGCCACAGACTAAATTCAACCAGAGTTACCACAAGGTCCAACTTGGTGTGCCAAACCAAAAATTTCTTTGGCCGCATCTGGCCACCCCTATTGAAATTTTCTGGAGGCACCCCTGCATCCTAGACTGAGAGCTTGGAAAACCAGTCAACAGTTTCATCAAATTTATTTTGTACAAGTACTAAGTAGCAGAAGGAAGCTATCTCATCGAGCAGCTGGTTCCTGCAAAGGTTCTTTTTCATGCTGGTCTATGAACTCGTAACCGTTTTGCTCAAAGTTAAACACAACGTGTTGAATCAATTCACACAAAACCCTATGGAAACCAAAGAAGTCCTGCAGGTTTTACAGGCAGTATTTCTTCAGCTGCAGAAATACAGAAAAAAATACATATGACCATAAATACATCAAATAAGGATTTAAATGCACAGCTTTACCGCATACCAACTTAAAAACGTCATCTTGTTTCAGCTCTCCTGAATTACCACTTGCTGGACTCGGTCCAGTGCTCTGAGGCCATCATGGCTGGAACTTCTTATGAGACCCTGGAAGGAAACAATATCGAAATCGGCTGTGATGGAGAAAGTCTGACAGTTAATGGCATCAAAATGGTGCTTAAAAAGGATATTGTCACTTCTAATGGTGTCATCCATCTCATTGACCAAGTGCTCATGCCAGACTCAGGTTAGACTCCTATTTACCATGCTGATCATACAAAGTTGTAATATTTTGTTCATGTTTTAACTGTTTGTGAATTATGTTTCGCCTTTAAGCTAAACAGGTGATGGATCTGTTGGGAGGCTCACTGTCAACCTTTGGTGACATGGTAGCCGAGCTTGGCATTACCACTGAAATGATGGCAGATGCTGAGTACACTTTGCTGGCCCCGCTGAATGCTGCCTTCACTGGTGAGTCACATGCAGCTTGTTTTATCATGTATTCACCTCTGTTTTCCACTCAGCAGGCGGTGGAAAGTAAATGTTGGCTTGTCCTCAATCAAATGCAGTCTGGAGTGGAGCAATGTGCATTTTCTATTTTTTTCCCCCATGAATACGAGAGATAGCTCTGTAGATTTACTAGACATGGTGAATTACAAAATGTTTTATGTTTTAGTCAGTCTTGCTGGATTCAGTGGTAATCAGTAAAATGAAATTGATCGATACACTTTCAATGGTTTACACAGCCAACATCATAAATTGCAAGTTAAGCACACAACTACAACATATTGTGCTGGTAACAGAAAATAAATGATAAAATCTGGTAAACTGGTGCCCACTTATAAGTATCCATAGTTGTGATTGGTTAAAGCCCATACTTTAACGAACTGTATTTCAACAAATAAATTGTGTTTCTCAAATAATCTCATTTATTGGGCTTGAAAACAGTCTTGAGTCAGAAAAGGGTAGAATGCCTTTTCTGGGTCAGAGACAAGTTCCTGCCTCAAGTGGAGGGGTATCTTGGGGTCTTGTTCGCAAGTGAGGATGAGATGGATGGGGAGATTAATAGGCAGATTGGTGCTGCGACTGTGACCCTTTTCACACAAAACCTAAAATTATGTTTTCCCGATTGAAAAAAAAGTGGTCGGGGAGAGGGAAGTCCCGGACTATTTGGTTAGGCTGCTGTCCCCGCAACCCGACCTCGGAAAAACAAAAGATGGATGGATGTATGAATGGAAAACAGAACAAAATATGTTCGTAGTGTGGTATTATGTCTAATGACAAATAGCTGCTATGTACATTATTAACACAAGGTGAAGAAAAAGAAAGACAAATTTTGACAACAAAAAGCTAAGGTACACCTTTTTAATTGTTGATGCCTGAGTAAATGTCCCACAGGTAAATAATTATGCGGGAAGATGAAAATAAGTTCTTCCTTTTTTCAGATGAAGTCATGTCAATGGATCAAAGGGACCTCAAGATTATTCTGGAGAACCACGTCATTAAGAGTAGGTTTGGCCTGGGAAAACTGTACAATGGCCAGAGGCTGGAGACAATTGGAGGAAAATATCTCAGGGTCTTCATTTACCGCACGGTGCGTCATCGTCTGTAAAGCTGTACCCGAAATTAAGACCGTGTGCCACAAACTGGCATAAGACACATTCTTCCTGTCATTTTCACATTAGCTATAATGTATTCAATGAAATGCTTGAGTCTGTTTGTAACATGTGGATTCTGACTGCAGGCTGTGTGCATTGAGAATTCCTGCCTGATAAGAGGCAGTAAAGAAGGAAGCAACGGAGCCCTTCATCTCATGAGGACAATGCTGAAATCAGCAGAAAAAACTATGTTTGAAATTCTGACGGAACGTGGAGGTTTCAGGTAAGTAGTGGACAATGTTGATGATAAATTTTACTTGGGTTAAATGTGAAATCGTAAGTCTAATCGGATCCACATGACACATAGGGAGTGATTAAGAGGCTTCGGTGAAATCTGTTAGGCCTTGGTGCTTTCCATAACCACCGAGTGTTTTTCCTTCTTTTTGTTTCAGTGTATTTTTGTCTCTAATGGAAGCTGCCGGGTTGACGGACCTGCTCAAACAAGAAGGAGATTTCACTCTGTTTGCCCCAAGCAACAAGGCTTTTTCAGTTCTAAGTGACAGAGATGTTGCCTTATTGAAAAGTAGGTCTACCTCACTCTCTTTGTGTCATAAAGTTTTTCAGGTACGTGACTAGTTGAAAAAAGTATGCCAGTTAATTAATAATCATGTGTTTGCCATTGTTTGTTTCAGGTAACCCGAATGCCCTCAAAACCATCCTTTTGTATCACTTCAGTAATGGTGTTGTCATCGGGGGCGGTTTGGAGTCTGGAGTGACAAATCTTGTCAAGTCCCTCCAGGGCAGCAAAGTTCACATGAAACTTGTGGGTATTCACAAACTTGTGGTTATTTACAGACTTGGGCATTCACACCTCATTTGTTCATTCATTCGTTTACTTCAGGCAAACAGCACAGTGAAGGTGAATTCAGTTCAACTCCAAGAAGCCGATATTATGGCCACAAATGGTGCCATTCACGTTGTCGACCAAGTTTTGTACCCCGAAGGTTAAAATTTCCTTCATTCAACCTTTTGCATTTACTTCCAGGTTTAAATCTGTCGAGACATGACCTTGAATTTGTAACCGCAGTAAAAACCTAAATGCTGTCAACGCCCTGTGCTCTCTTCCAGACATCCCTGTGGGGAACCAGGATCTTCTCGCATTACTGAGGAGGCTCATTTCTTATATACAAATTAAGGTGAATTACCTTTTCATCACAATTTCAGACTTCATGAAGTATGAGGTGTTGATTTTTGTAATTATGAAGCATGTTGTTTTCTTAAATGCATCAGTAGGGTATACATTTTGTTGGTAATTTCCCAAATGTTCTCACATTATGAGGCTAAATGTAACACATTCTCTGCTTAACAAAGTTGTATGTTTGCAGTTTGTTCAAGGATACAGGTATGAGGAAATACCGCTTACATTTATGAGTAAGTAGTGATATTTGTTTGCTTTTCATTTGCAACATAAGTACTACTTTTAAACAATCTGTCTTGTATTTACTTGCTTTCTTGTTTCTTAGAGAAGATCATCACACGTGTTGTCGATAGAGGTAATCGTGCTTGCATGTAATGATCATAAATACGATGAACACATTTTAATGAGACGCTTGCATGCACAATATTTAGAAAAAATGTTTCTGAGAAGTCAGAATGATGGTAATTCTTGCAAATATATTTCTTATACCAAAGGAAATTACAATCAAAACAATTTTTAATTGTTGATGTCACACATTTGTACAAATTTGAATTTCCTCTTTACTTTGACAGGTCCTAGTGTATCCAAGGTCACAAGGATCGTTGAAGGCCAACCATCTGTCACCAAGGTTACCAGGGTCGTTGAAGGTGAACCCTCCTTCACCAAGGTTACCAGGGTTGTTGGAGGTGAACCCTCCTTCACCAAGGTGACCAGGGTCATTGAAGGTGAACCCTCCTTCACCAAGGTTACCAGGGTCGTTGAAGGCGAGCCCTCCTTCACCAAGGTTACCCGGGTCGTTGAAGGCGAGCCCTCCTTCACCAAGGTTACCAGGGTTGTCTCAGGTGAATATTCATCCTTTAAAATCTGTCCAAAATCCTCACAAAACTAACCATGCCAGTAATTCATGAATGCTTTTTGTTTCAGGACCTCAATCTTCAGTGAGAACTGGCACCACAAACATCGCCCTGGAGGGTAAATGCACATAAAAGCACACATCCAAGGGTGTTAATTGACAGTCTTAGATATGGATGTCCGGATCTCCTTTAGGACATTTGTGCGTGTACAGGCAAATTATCCAAAGAGGCCTGATAAGGATGTCATTAAGGAGTGTTCTCATCCATTGCCAAGGACACATCACTCCCTCACCTGTTTGGTCTCTTACCATCTGGCAAATATTACAGAGCAACATGCTGATTAACTCTTTTTAATCTACTGCTGTTTTTTTCCATCCTGCTACCCTATCACTTCACTTGAACATAGTAGAACATTACTTTTCAAAACTTTTTTATATACCTCCTTTTAGACTTTATTCCATCCGGTGCAGTCTACCAAATTTGCATTATAGATAGTATATTCTGTTTCTTTTATTTAGTATTGTTTATTATTAGAATTGATTGCATCTTGTTTATTCCTGCTATCTTAAAGAATAGTCACATTGCTTTTCAAAATACCATATATAATTGCAATGCTTATATGGTATGATGCATGGTACTATGGGCATCTTTAGTGTCGATGAATGATTGCTTTGAAACGTAAGAATCACAGGTTCTCAGAAAATGTTTTTGTTTTTCATCAGGAATTGACATTACAAAATTTGAAGGGGATGAGGAGCGATTTACCCGATTGGTCCAAAGTGAGTTTACTCTTTTTTATTTAAGCAGCTCATTTCTGTTGTTGCACATTAACATGTGGTATGTGTGTTTGTTTACTTCTTATAGAAGGAAGGAATAAACCCCGAAGAGTTTTAGGTAAACAGAGACAAAGAGAAAAGACGGGAAACAAATCAGCAAGTTGAAACATTTAGCCTGATTTTATAGAATAAATACAATTGTGTTTGAGCAGATTGTGGCTGTCAGTTCAAGTGTGTGTCTGCATCCATTTGGCATACGCTCTGTCCTGCATCATGTTTGTTCTGTACCCCATCCATAATTTAAGTGGAATAGTTTGATCTTTTGGGAAATTTCTCAAAACCGCCTATAGTCTGGCTGAAAGTTAAGAGGAGAAGATTGATTCAACTTGTATCGGTGTGCATATAAAACATGCAATAAAGAGAAAGAGAGAGAGAGAGAGAGAGAGAGAGAGAGAGAGAGAGAGAGAGAGAGAGAGAGAGAGAGAGAGATGGGGGGGCTGTTTGCTTAGTTTTGTTCATTTTTTTCTCCTAGAAACTTTGCAAATGACCCATTTTTATCTTGTTAGTTTAATCATAGACAAATTATTTCACCAGGAATTAAGGAACTAAGTGCTGGAAAAGGCCTGAGTCAGGCTGATCAGCTTTCTGGATCTCCATTTGACCCCTGGTACCCTTAGTGGGGAAAAAAACCAACTCAAGGGTTCTAACTGAGAAGCAATCCAGCCCATAACCTCCTCTAAACCCCCAAATATTTTGTTTTTACACTTCATAAGTTATATAAACATTAATGGCTAAAGTTTGGAGTTACTGGTCAGCGTGTGTGATTGTGTTTGTACAGGCTGGCTGGGCTGATTCATTCACTTTCCAGTTTTTGAGCTCAGTTAAGGGAGTCGACGGCTGAATCATATTTTCCAAAGCAGACGCATGGATAGCATCAGTCTTCTCTTCTAACATACAGCAGGGAAGCACATGAGTATATTTCCCAAAAAAGTCAAACAATTCCTTCATGTCGGCTGCAGCCTCATGTCAGTTCATTTCACCGTGCTTGCTGCTGCGACGCTCACATAAATGTTAGGCTGACTTTTACTATGCCTCTCCAGCTGCAGCAGTTCACTGAACATTTTCATGAGGTCCATCTCTCTAGCATCCACATTGACTCAGAGGTTCTGTGGGGGCAGTCGTCACTCCCACCCTCTGCTGAGCTGAGGTTGGCGCTGTTGCCATGTGGAGAGAGATGAGATCAGAGCGCATAGACCTTCCAAGCTTTAATACTGTTCATACTTCACTTTCAGACGATGATCAGTTCAGTTTAATTGACTTTTACTATTGTTTATCTCTCAGATGCTAACAGGAGGAGAGGGCAGAACTGAGCATGGACAGATGAGAAGATCTTCCAGGAAAAGAAGACAAACTGAGGGTTTGAAACCGATGTCAAACAGCAGATAAAAGTGTCAGTTCCTAAATGTGGCTGCCAAAGCTGATGAAAAGAAGAAGTCTTGTGATAAACACACAAACTTAATGGTGCTTTTACTGTATACTGTATACATCTTAAAACTTTCCTAATTCATTATAAAAAGTTGAAACGGATTTAATTTTTCCTTGAATCTGAAAATGCAGAAAGCGAGAGCAGCAAGCATTTCAAGTTGTTCCAATTTCTATAGAAACATCAGATTTCTAATCATTTTATGGCTTTGATCAAGATGATTGTTAGAGTCAGCAGATTTTACGAGCTGTCTGGGAAGAAATTAATACTAAATTAGAAGCAATCACTTTTCTTTTCCTTGCTGTTATTTTAGTTCACTGGCTTTAAGTTGTTGTATCTGTGTGTACATTTCTTCAGCTGCTTTTATTTTGGAACAATGTAACCAAACCCAGGCATTCCTCTTTCTATTTCCCAAACTTTCAGCAATAAAGTGCTTTTGTGTAGATATCTATGTTAGGATGTACGGTCGTTTTTATGTCCTTGCAAAGTTCTCAAGTTGTACGGATTACTTCATACTGTTCAAATGTTTTAGATCGAATCTAAATATTGTCTTAAATTTGTGTTTCTGAGCACCAGGTGTTATAATAGTAAATGTCTGAGTCGTTCTGTTTAGTGGAACATTAATCTGTTTGTAAGTTTAAGAGGCTGACCTGAGTCGACCTGTGGAAGAACGTGCAAAACAGAAATCCAGCTGGACTCGAGGAAAACGTGTATCTTCATACAGTTCAACCAATAAAACATCCAAAACTCAAAAACTATTGGAATTTTAATTTGGCGTTAATACAATCAAACATTTACAATTTACTATTTTAAATGAGCAGGTTCACTAAGAAACCAATTTTTTGTATTATTTCTGACAATAATCGGTCACTCTGAGTTTTTCACGCTGGCTGAACGTGAAAGCGGTCTTCTACACCTTTCGCCTGCATTAGCTTCTGATGTGAGAAGCCTGACAGATCTACGTCACACGTCACTTAACATTCATGGACTCATCCATCATGACTCACAACGGGGAAGAGCAGAGAACGTTTCGACTAGTAAAAGCTAATTGCATAAGCAACTCCACATTACAGCAGAACTCCTTCAAACTTTTTTGTGGATAAAACACCAACATTGCCAAGCAAATAATCATTGGACAACAGGTATATTTAAGTCAATAGTCTCTTTTATAAACAATGCCAGCAATTAGCCACAAAGCTGAGTATCAGAGAGCCTTTGGTCGTAGTGGTCATATCATGGTGATAATGTGGCACAATTGTGTTCTTTTTACAAAATAATACACAGTATAGCAGTATAAAGGGGTATAGGGGTGGTCTTTGCGCCGTCACAGACTTCCTTTTAACTTGGACATAACTTGCTTTGTATTGTAATTGAACCCGCGCTCCTTAAAGTGACAGCGTGTATTTTTATTTATTTATTTTTTTACCGTGTCTTGTCTGGCTGTGAAGCAAGCAGAATTGATGTCTGAATGCTGGTGACAAGCCTTACAGATTTATTCTCAGGTGGAGCATCAAAGCGTTTGCTTTTAATGTCACGCCTGATACTTAAAACTTTATTGTTATTGTTGTTGAATGCTTTGTAATTCCGACCAGACACGGAGACAGAGGTGAAAGAGAAAGGAAAAGAAAAGGTGGGGAGAGGGGGGGGGGGGGGGGGGGGGTTCCACAAAAATAAACAATAATGAACAAGAGTCTGCTTCTAGACCTGCAGAAAAAAAGACAAAAAAAAAACAAAGGGACACAAAAAAAGGGACACAACAACAATACAACAAGATCTACCTATCACTGCGTCAACTTGATGAAAAGAAAAAAAATATATATATATATAATCAACATTGCTTAACTGAAGAATCACGATAGTAAATCACAACGCATTAAGTGCCCACCATAGTCTTAAGACCTGTGTTTAACGTGCCCAAGCCCATACTTTTGAGAGCACCATGTGAGCACCTGTGTGTGTACACGCGCTTGTTTATTTAAGGTTTTTCTATAGGAGCGCCCAACAGAGAGTGTGAGAGACCACAGATCCGCCCCCAAAGATGCGCAGGAGACGGGGGGAGCTCCAAGTCCCAGAGATCCAGGCGCTGCCCCAGAATGCAGGAACTCCAAAGAGACTGCAACCAGGAAGGCCCCCGCCCCCCTTGAGAGGCACAGAGGATCGCCCCGGGGGGCCACAACCAGCAGCCGGCAGAGTCCCTGGAGATATCAGCGGCAAGCCCACAGGCCCGCCCGCAGCCTCCCACCCCCTAGCCGGCCGAGCCCGGGACCCAGCGACCCGGGACCCAGGGGCGACCACCCCCGCCGGGGATCCAGCAGAGCACAGGGACCCAGACCCCACCAGGCAGCCACCGGGATCTAACAGGCAGATGCCAAAATCTTAAACCCCCAGACCCGGTTGCCACGAACACTCAGGCAGACCAAGGCACAAGCCCCCACACCAGGTGTGGCAGGGGGAGGGGGGACAGAGATCTATATCATCAAGAGAAGTTCCAGGAGAGGGGAGGACCCAAAGGCCCCACCTGACATATACAGTCATACACAAACACAGTCACACGCTCCCTCCCTCATGCTCACACATGCACATACAACCCCAGCGTGTATTTTTCTGGCGATGGGGGGCAATAGATTCTTAAATCGTTACAAGCTAACAGTAATTTGTGTTGGAATAAGACCAACGGATGCCCATTAGGGCCAAATAGCCCTGGGGAGTGCAAGCTTGAGCAAAATAACAAGCACATCAGACTCCCTTTCATTTACAAGAGGTAAATGCTAGAGGTGGGAAAAATGACCGATTCTAAGATGCATCGCGATTCAGCCGTGCATGATTCCACATCGGTGCAGCAACGTGACATAATGAGATTTTCTACCTATGTCTATGTCGGGGGTCGGCAACCCGCGGCTCTGGAGCCGCATGCGGCTCTTCCATCCATCTGATGCGGCTCTCTGTGCTTGTAAAATAATGAATGGATATTTAAATAAAATGCTTTATGTTTTACTGCATTAATTTTACATCTGTATGCCAATTCTAAATGTAAAGATTGTCTGCGTAAACCTGAACAGTTCGAAACTGGTCTTACTGTGAGACCAGGTTGATGCGTCACGCTTGTGCGTAATCATAGGCGCATTCTGAGCTGACGAGGATGTGAGATTCTGGGACTCTCCTCAGACGGCTCCTGGATGTGTTGCCACATCGGAGACAGGAACAAGCGCTATTCAGCCAAAGTTTCATAATCAGGGAACATTTTCTAAGTGACAAGTCTCGTTTCAGTCGGAGGAATCTTCCTGCATGCGCTCTGGTTCTGCGACGTGCTCCAAGCCCCTCTCCACATCTTCAGCTCGCTGTTGATCTTAAGTAGTACACGCTGACAGTGAGCTGCGCTGAGCAGTGTCCAGCTCAGATGTTCAGATGGGAATCATTTCTTGAGTGATTTAGCTACATCTGCGATGTGCAAAACGAATAAAGTGTCAGTTCTTCTGCTTGCGTCGGGGTAATTCTTTCTATTCTTTCTCCGTCAAAATAAATAGTCAAATACGGGAACTATCCGGTCAACACAACACAAGCCCTGCTTTTAACTGTTTTGTTTTCTTGTGAAAATTGTTGCAAAGAGATATAATTTAACTTGATTAACACCAGAGCCAGGCGCACTGCTCCGTTATCTCCGTCACTGTAAATGAGGGAAAAACAAATTGATCGGATCCTTTTCTGACCTTCCCCACCTACAAAGTTTAATTACAACAATCAAATGTGACAGAGCCTGGATTTGTATTCTGAACAGTCTAAACATATTTTAAAAAGAAACGTATGACAAAAGTGGCACCTGCTCAGTAAAACCACCAACAGGGTGAAAAATATCAAAATATTGTAGGCAGAGACGGGCTACAACTTCTGGATCCATTTTATATAAATCGTTTTATTGATTATCGTCTTATGAAAGATAACTTTGACGTACACGAGCGACCGGTACTGGCTGCTGTCACCTGTTGTGAGAAGCTCTCTGCTGTCTGAGGGTAGGCCCCGCCCACAACGCCGCCGCTGCTGTGGCTCCCAGTGTTTTCTTTACTGTGGGAAACGGGTAATAATAGCTCTTTGATGGGAACAGGTTGCCGACCCCTGGTCTATGTCTATGCGAAGACAATAAAGTTTTGAGGTTTTACAATTACTTCTGGGGGCAGAGTTGCAATGACATGCGCACTGCGTTGCCCTAGCGCCAATTTAAAACTGAAAAGGTGGACAGGGATACAGGGCCAACATTACCAGTAATCAAAGATGGACCCGCTACATTTAAATCGGATGTCTGGGCTAATTTCAGTTTTGGGATCCTGGATGTGAAAGAATCACTTAACACAGTATTTGTTTACTATTTTTAAGTTCAGTAATATTCTATCTTAAAGCTGCTCTACCGAAAACATTATTTCTTATATTATTTAAGTAATTATAGGCAGCACACTTAAAAAATATTGCTCACTATAGTGAATAGATGAATGTTCTGTTTTTCAGGGATTTCGAAATCAAAAAGAAATTGAAAACTATTCTACTGCTTTTATTAAGTAATGAAAATTTTTGTGTGAAGAATCGTGATGCATTTCAGACTCAAATCGATTCTTTAGGCGGATAATCGGAATCTGATCGAATTGTGAGGCAGGTAGAGATGCACACCACTAGTAAATGTGTAAAACAATATTTAAGAATGATGAATGTTTTGTAACCATTTGTTACAAATCAGTAAATGCATTTTGTCTTCATGGGCTCCCATAGAAGCAAACATGGCTTCTATTAGGGCGTCGCCCAGAGACTTAGACCTGTTCTCATGTATTGTAGATCTGATTTTTACGGTTATACAAAGCCGCCAATATTTTTCAACAACTGGGCATCATTTAAGTCATTTTCAACAAAAATTTGATTGATGTTTCCAGAAATTAATGGTAAAAACTACACATTGACACATTGTCTCTTAAAGGTTTTTCACACGCCTTTCCTAAAGGTGTCTGTCCACCACAGAGTCACATTGCTGTAATTGAAGCGAGATGTCCAAATATCAGGAAAAAAAGAACCCAAATCTTACGACATTTCTCATCAGGAAGGATTATGTTTGGAAGGCTCATTTGTAAGGAAAGTTTCAAGGTTATAAATGGACTTGGCCCATGGTTTGAGTAATAGCCTTTGACCTCTAAGATGTCTAATGTCATATGATAACAACATAACAACATAATGGATAAAAAATCACGGTACCCTAGAAATCCATCTATCTTCAATAAATAATGTCTCTGATGATATTGAATAATCTCTAATGATATTGATTGATTTATGATAGTAATTAAGAATCAGTTTGAGGGAGCGAACCAGGTCATTCATAGATGATAATTTAAAAAGCACAATTGGTACTTATGAAAGTTTGTTTAGTTTAGGTTCAAAAACAAAACATTTATCATCACTCCTAAATTTGACATTTCA